AGAATTGCATATAACATTTTGTTTAAATAGACAGAATTGCTACTTAACAGGAGCACGCATCGGAGAGAAGAGATAGTGATGTAGATATGGTAACAACCTGAAAAACAAAAATAGAAAAATATGTTAAAATCTAAAAATGAACTAATCTAAACTAATGGCAAGAGAATTTACTTATTTATATGGAGAAAAATTAAAAAGAGGGGGTTCTCTTAGGGTGATGGACGTAATGCTAGGGCATTGTTGTTGACAACAATGTTTCAAACATTATCGATTGACTTTAAACGTGGTCTCATACACCAAATTCTTTAAAAGTATAGCCCCGAGGATATACATCTGCCAATTCAAAAGATCTAGACCATCTAGACTTAAGTTTACCAGGAAATAGCTTTAAGCGAGAGTTGAAGAACTTGATGTCCAGCATGAAACTGCTTGGGCAAGATATGTTTGTTGTGCCATTTCTAACTTTTACCTTTGTAGATTCGGGCACTCTCGTAAGCATTGTTTCAAAGCCCCTCAAGTTCATTCGGGTCTAGCATTCATTTTTTGCCTGCATCATCAAGATCAAAGTTTAGCTTTTCCAATGCCCACATCGCTTTATGCTCCAACTCCACAGGTAAATGACAAGTTTTTTCATATACCTAGAGATAAAGAGACATCCCCAAAGGGGTTTTATAGGTTGTCCTATATGCCCATAGAGCTTCCTCAAGTCGTAGGGACTAGTTCTTTCATGAAAGATTCATTACTTTTTCTATGATTTGCTTTATTTCGCGATTAGTGATCTCTTCTTGGCCATTTTTCCGAGGATGATATGTTGTAGCAATGCGATTTTTGACTCTATAAAGCTGTAGAGCATTCTCTATTTGTGGAACAATAAATTGGGAACCCTCATCACTAATAAAGCCTTTTGGTGTTTCGAAGTGAGTAAAGATATGTTCGTGTAGGAATTGAAGAACTGTTGTAGCATCACTTGAATGTAATGCTTCAACTTCAACCCACTTGGATACATATTCTACAGCAACAAGAATGAAGAGATTGCCACAAGATGATGGATATGGTCCCATGAAATCTAATCCCCAAACATCGAAGAGTTTAATCTCTTGTATAGTCTGTATTGGCATTTCATTACGATGAGAAATGCTACTTGTTCGCTAGCAGCAATCACAATGTTGTACGAAGTTAATAGTATCCTTGAATAGCGATGGCCAGTAATAACCACATTGAAGGACCTTTGTTGTTGTACGTATGCCCCCAAAGTGCCCATCATATGGTGCATTGTGGCAATGATGCAGAATACTTTGTTGTTCGCTTTTAGGAACACACCTCCTCAAAATTTTGTCGTTACATTGCTTGAAAAGATAAGGTTCTTACCAAAAGTAGGCTTTAACATAAAATTCTTTCAACATTGATGATTAAGATCCGGTGGTAGCATACTAATAACTAAATAATTTATAAAATCTACATACCATAGTAAAACATTGATGGACAGCAACCTCTCATCGGGAAATATATTTGGCGCTACAAGTTTCTTGTCATCCTCACTTCCGGATTCCAAGTGGGATAAATGATCAACCACTTGGTTTTCAGATCATTTTTATCTTGAATTTTAATGCCAAGTCTTGAATAAGTAAAACCTATCGAATCAATATTGGTTTAGTGTCTTTCTAAGCAAAACAATGCTTAAGAGTCGAGTGGTCGGTGTAAACAATTACTTTGGTTCCAACCAAGTATCAATGAAATTTTCCAAAAGCAAACACTACAAAAAGAAGTTCTTTCTCAGTTGTGGTGTAATTAACTTGAGCATCATTCAATGTCTGGCTAGCATAATGAATGGCATGAAATATTTTCTCCTTACGTTGCCCCATCATAGCTCCTACAGCATGGTCGCTAGCAACACACATTAATTCAAAATGTAAACTCCAGTTTGGTGCTACGAAAATTGGAGCATTGATCAACTTTGATTTGATGGTCTCAAAAGATGTAAGGACTTCAACATCTATGTCAAATTTCTTGTTTTGCTTCAACAATGAGCATAAAGGTTTGGCAATTTGAGAAAAATCCTTGATGAATCTTCGGTAAAAGCCTGCTTATCCTAAAAAACTCCTTACAGCCTTCACATTGCTAGGAGGAGGCAGTTTTTCAATAACTTCAACTTTGGTATTGTAGACTTTAATGCCACGTGAGAAATACGATGCTCCAATACAATTCCCTCGGTAACCATGAAATGGTATTTTCCTCAATTCAAAACCAAGTTAGTTTCTTCACATCGCTTTAAAACAATGGCCAAATTAGAAAGGCATTGCAAAAATTCTTGCCCAAAAAAATCATCCATAAATATCTCCAAACAATTTTCAATCATGTCAATGAATATTGCCATCATGCAGTGCTGAAATGTTGCTGGAGCATTGCACAGGCGGAACGACATTCTTCGGAATGCAAATGTTCTGCATGGACAAGTAAAAGTAGTCATTCCTTGATCTTCAAGAGCTATAGCAATTTGATTATATCCATTATACCCATCATGAAAATAGTAGGGAAACATTTCCAACAAGTTTGTCCAGTATTTGCTCAATAAACGACAACATAAGTGATCCTTCTTTGAAGGCTTTATTCATCTTTCGGTAGTCCATGTAAATTCTCCAACCCGTAGTTGTGCGCGTTGGTACTAGCCCATTCTTCTCATTTTATACTAAGGTTATGCCCCCTTCTTGGGAATACATTACAAAGGGCTCACCCAATTGCTGTCAGAAATATGATATATAGTCCCAGGATCCAGCCACTTAATAATTTCCTTTCGAGCAACTTCCTTCATGATTGGGTTTAACATTCATTGTTTCTCTATTGAATTGTTGTTAGGGTCTTCCATTAATATCTTATCCATGCAAAATGTTAGACTAATTCCTTTAATATCAGCTATGCTCCAAGAAATTACCCTTTTATGCTACTTTAAAACAGTAATCAGACTGTCCTCTTGTGATGTTGTGAGCTTTGCGGCACCAATGACTAGCAAAGTCCAATTTTCTCCAAGAAAAGTATATTTCAAATGCTTGGGCAAAACTTTAAGCTCAAGCTTAGGAGTCTCTTCTATTGACAACTTCGGTGCTTGAATAGGTCAATCAGGAAACTCTAAGGATTCAAAGTGTTGCATGAAATTCCCTTCAACTGCCTCATTTTCTTGTAGTTATACAATTGCTACAACATTAGTAGTGGCAACTTTCTTCATACTATAGAATTCCTTCAAATGTTCCTGCACATAAATATTAATAATATCAATGTTATTGCATTCAACATTATCATCAATATAAGAAAAAAATTTCAAAAAAATTAAAAGTTATATATTCATCATTCAAACACATTGTAAGTTCCCCATTCTCAACATCTATAAGGGTTCTCCCTATAGCAAAGAAGGGTTTGCCAAAAATTATTGAAACATATTTGTCGGCTTCACAATCCAATATGATGAAGTCAGTAGGAAAAATGAACTTATCCACTCATACGAGCATGTTTTCCATAATGCCACTATGATGTATGGTGGAACGATCTACAAGTTGCAAGGTCACGGTGGTAGGCTTTGCTTCTCCACTTCCAAACTTCCTTAAATTGATAACGGCATAAGGTTAATGCTAATATCTAAATCGTATAAAGCCTTACTTACAAATTAATCACCAATGATACAAGGAATATTAAAGCTCCCATGATCTTTGAGGTTTAGTGGCAATCAACTAGAAGCCATTGCGTTACAGTCTCCGGTAAGTGCTACAGTTTCAAACTCACATAGCCTTCTCTTTTAGAAAGTACTTCTCACATAAACTTTATGTAGTTTATAATTTTCTCTAAAGCATCGATCAATGGGTTATTGATTGTTAATTATCGAAGTACATTAATAAATTCTTTGAATTGTTGATCCTCCTTGGTTTTCTTGAATCTTTGTGGAAAGGGCGGTGGTGGTCATGGATTTGGTTGATTCGGCAATGGCTGTGGCATCGTAGGTATGACAAGAGGTGCTGATTGAGGTGATGCTGCCATATATCCAAAACTATCACTTTTGTAGCATCCCTTGCTACAACATCTAAAATAGATGCTTCTTTTGCTACCTCCTTGTCCTTGGTCTATTGGTCATCATATTTTTTCTTGTTTTCAGCAGTGAGTTTACCAAGATGGATCCCACTTCCAGTTGTAATGTATTTACAATGTTCGTTGCAATGCGTCTTCCCATGAGCCTTAGGAACTTCAGCATTGTTGGGCAGCATCAATGTTGCCTATTGCTTTAAGCATTGGCCAACTGGCCAACTTGGTTTTCCAATGCTCGTAGAGATGTTGACTGGCTTTAAATCACTGCTTTATTTTACGAAATATATTCTTACATCAAAGATTCAAGAGAAGTTAGGTTAGGAGCTTGATGAGAATTTTACCCTTGGTAATTCTACCTTTTCTGGGGTTGCACTAATTGTTAATGCTATTGGTTGTTAATTGTAATGTTGTCGTTGATTGCCAAAATTAGATTTCACATCATTATTATTGGCAACATTTTTTCTTCTCCAAGATAAGTTGTGATGGTTGCGGTAGTTGGCATTGTATGAATTCCAATAAGTGTTGGCGTTATCACCCATATAAAATTTCTCACAAAACGAATAGATTCGGGTTTTTTTGGACATTCTTCATAATTATGTGCACCGCCATAATAAACACAAGAGAGATGAGATGTAGCTTTTACCTCATACATGTCATCCGAATTTTATAGTTTCTTTACCATATCATTTAATATTGTGATCTGGGAAGCCATTGAATTGAAACCATCAATGTTTGTTTTTGTACCATTATGTCTGTTAAACATGTTCCTCGTATTGGGGTATTGATAGCCATTATTGGAAATACTCTCCAATATATCACATGCTTCATTTTATGACTTGTCCAATAATGCTCCATTTGCTGAAGCATCAACCACCATACGAGTATATATGTTTAACCCATTATAAAACATCTTCATTTGCATCTAATAGGGAAATTTGTGCATCAGACACTTTCACAACAACTCCTTAAACTGTTCCCAAGCTTCATATAAATTCTCATCATCCAATTGCTTGAAAGAGGTAAACTCATTCCTCAGCTTCGCATTCATATTGGGCAGAATGAAGCGCATCAGAAATTTTTATGCTAATTCATTCCAGGATGCTACTGCACGTAGTGGTAGCGAATTAAGCCATGCTCTAGCTTTGTTGTACAGTGGAAAAGGGAAAATCTTCAGCTTTAGTGCTTCCTCAAGAACACCTTGTTGTACAAAAGGTACACCTCCATGAATACCCTAAGGTGTGTTCTCGGATCTTCAGTAAACGAGCCACTATATTGCCACATAGATTGTAGCATTTGAAATATCACCAGCTTCAATTCATAGTTAGCAGCTTCGATGGTTGGTCACACAATTCCAAGGTGTAAGTTATCCAGCGTAGGCACAACATGCTCTATAATATGTCGGTTGCAGTCACCCATATTGAATTATGACTGTTGCTCAGCTCCTATGTCGTGCAACAATTCTCCTTCTCCAACATGTTGTAATGGTGGCAGGGTATTGTGACCATGTGCTTGATCATCCATATTAACTCAATTACGATTAGATTTTCTTCGACTCTCGATTTTAAGATCTAATGGCACGAGGCCGTCGCTATTAAACAGACAACACTAAGCTAAAAAGAAATTACCTACAAAATAAAAGAAACAAGGTTAGTATATGTAAATAAAAACTCTAATGCAAACAGTTTCTCCTCGACAACGATACTAAAAACTTGATGAGTGTAAAATACGCTCCAGCCTAACGCAATTATACACTGTCCCAAGTAGTAATAGATGTTTCACAGCATCGAGTATCGTATCCACAAAAAGCAAAATTAGTTTACAAAAGAGTTATAAGGAGAGTTAATTAAAAGCGACATGCAACATGTTTTAAAAGTGTAAATTCAATAATAAAAATATCAAGTTATGCTACAACATTGAGTAAAGAACAAGATCAACCATCAAATTATTCAGAATCACTAAGTATCCATCATATATTAACCATGTGTTTAAATCCATCACTAAGTATCCAACATATATTAACTTTAATTAATTATTCAGAATTAGCTCTCACTAAATCAAACGATTAATCTATTAACTATGCCAAATGCTTGGCAGCATACATCTCAATATGCAACATTACTTCTCACAATACCAAGGAGAACAAAAACAACCTGAATAGTAATACATATATTTTTGTATTGTATGAAAAAACATGCATTTGATGATAAATCTCTTTAACCTTCCAAAAGCTCAAGGTACAAATTCCTAAACTTAAACATTCATCATAGTACAAATATCAAAATAAACAACTAAGTTTATATCAAATATCAACCACAAGATAAAAATAGTATTCAAACTATCCTAACATATCCCTATCTCAGATGGAGGACATATATAGATGAAGTGATCTAGTTTTACTGCCGATGCTACTCGGAAAAAGCTTATCCTTGGATGTTGCAGCACTCCCCAAATGAGTGGCTTAAGTAGCCATTGCAAGAGATGAAAAAATTTGTGATGATAAATGGAAAGTGGAGTGTTGAAAATATGATAGGTGAAAGGAGCCATCCTATTCTAATGAAATTGCTCCACACTTTAGGTGCTGGTTGGAGAAATAACAGTTGTCTCATTCTAGAACAATCTGCTTAGCACCTGATGACTCATCGCTTGCTGCACCTTCTGCTCCAATGTTGCAACATTTTTGTACATTTTTTAACAATAAAACTAAAAATTAGCCCAAGAAAAACCAAATTTCTCATGATTCAAAATGCATATAAATGTAAATAAAATGATCCTAAAATGCTTCTAAACATGCTTAAGTTCAACCTAAACCTACGTATAAATGATTGATATGATAACTCTTTTGGAGAGTTATCAAATGCCATGACATAATAGAAATTAAGGAGGAATTCCCTGATGAGAAAATTTTATTTGTCTTAGCAATTCTGTGATATACTAACATTGTAACTTTCTTGTTAGTGGTATTTTGCCTCCATATTTAAATAGCGAAGGCAAAATAAAATTCATACATAATGTGCGATACTAATATTGGGACGAGCCTTATTTTTTCAAGCAATGTGTCGACCAAATGATTTAAAGGTGTGGCTCCAAAGAGGAGCAAAACGAGATTTTATTTCATTGTCATATGGCTCTTTGTGGAGGTCATTTTGGAGGGGTAAGGACTACTGCAAAGGTCCTGTAATTTGGTTTCTATTGGCCCACACTCTTCAAAGATGCTCACACTTCTACAAGGCATGCAATTAATGCCAACACACTATGAACATATCGAGGAGACATGAAATGTCATTGCAAAATATTTTAGAAGTTGAGCCATTCAATGTATGGGGAATAGATTTAATGGGATCATTCTCATCTTCTTTTGTTGATATATACTTCCTCCTAACTGTGGATTATGTATCCAAGTGGGTTTAAGTCGTGGTAACTCTAAAAAATGACTACAAAACCATGCTTATGCTCCTGCACAGGAACATTTTCATAAGGTTTGGAGCACTGAGAGCCATCATAAGTGATAAAGGAACCCACTTTGACAACAAGTTAATTGCTAAAGCATTACAAAGGTATGGGATGCGACATATAATTGCTATAGCATAGAACCCTCAGACCAACGAACAAGCTGAAGTTTCCAATCGTTAGATCAAGCAAATCCTAGAGAAGGTGGTGAAGCCCAAGAGGAAGGACTGGACCCCCAAGTTAGATGAATCACTCTAGGCATATCATACAACATTCAAGACTCCACTTGGGATGTCACCATTCAAGCTAGTATATTGCAAGGCATGCCAAGCATAAGTCCTATTGGGAAATTAAGAAGCTTAACATAAAGGCCCAGCTAGTAAGAGAAGAAAGACTATTAGAGCTAAATGAGATGGAGGAATTTCATGCTAAAGCATATGAAAATGCATGCATGTACAAAGAAAAAACAAAGAAGTATCACGACAAAAAAAACTTTTTTCGCATCATTTTCAAGAATCCAACAAGTCCTCCTATATAATTCTAGGCTGAAGCTATTCCCCGGGCAAGCTAAAGTCCAGATGGTCTAGACCATTCTAGGTACACCAAGTATACCCCCATGGGGCGGTTGATATCAAGAACCTTGATGATGGCACCATCTTCAATGTGAATGGAAAATGGCTAAAGGTCTACACTGGTGCCCCCATCATGCACAACAAGTCTTCACTTATCCTCCATGGTGCATGAGAGTTTGCACTCAATACCCTTTTTGTTTATTTTGTAATAACATTTTCATTTTATATTATGTTCATAAATAAAATATTATTTTTTTATCTTCACCATGCTTTCATTACTTTTTGTTCTTGATTTTACAAATTTTCTTTTTAGGTTTCTATGTGGTAGGATATGGAGAATGAACCCGCTGAGCAAGCTACCAAGATCCCTCTTTCACCTGAAATGTCACAGCATACTAACCCACCCATGCATAGGATAGCCCCACCCCAAAGAAGTTACATACAACCACCACAGTGAGGTACATCCATTTTCATTATCATTGTATTTCACTCAGTTTCATCTCATTTAATTTTCATGTATATAGGATAATACTTCCTTCAAGTTTGGGGGAGGTAATGTTCATAGTTAGGCATTTGCATTTATAGTAATTAACATATTTTTATTAATGTATTTGTTAGGTTTTAAGATAGTTTTTAGAATAATTTGATGATGCCCAATGATAATGATTTTTTTTAAGATTGTGATTAATGTACATGATTGTTGAGATTGGTAGAATTAACTCTAGGGCTTGATTCTTTGCGATTAAACTTTTACTCGATTGTTTGCTCTCTATGCTTAAGAGTTTTCGCAATTTTTTTATGAAATAACTCTTGCATGCTTTAGCATAACTGATAAATGAATGCTTGAAAGGTTATTTTAAACTCCCCTATGCTTAATTGAATATTATGAATTGTGAATAAATGCTATGGCATAACTGTAGAGGAACACTCCTCTTTGGATTGTTTACCTAGATAACCCCTTTAATAACTGGCAGCAATGGCAAATGAGTGAATGAAAGTAGTCACGATATGACTCTACCTACTAGCTTGGGCATGGAATGTTTGCTCCAAGTCATCTAGAGTTGAGAACGGTAAGTTTGATAAGTTGACATCCCTCATAGCAGTTTCAAAAAAAATAAGAAGAAAAAGGAAAAATAATAAAATTAGGATAATGGGATTAGAACTTGAGCTTCATTGATTAACAAATGCTAAGGCATAATGGAGAACTTGATTAGGATTTTTCTAACTATATTAAGAATAGACTGGATATAATCACGTACACACATGCAAAGGATCTTGTCTTATGAAAAAAATCTTAAAATTGCAATGTGTACCATGTTTAAGCCTATGTTTTTAAGGGTTGAATTTTATGCCTTGCAACTGTCTTGGACTGAACTTTTTCATAACATTTCTTATGTTAATTACTATTCATCACTTGAGGACAAGCAATAGATTAAGTTTGAGGGTGTGATAACTCTGCAAAAAGGTTATATTTTGTGTTTTTTTTTACTTAGGTTATTGGTTGTTAAAAATCTCATTTAACTACATGCAGTTGCATTTACGTCTGTGAAGTTGCATCTGATAGTTTAATTTTGTTGCATTATGTTATTGTTGAAACTAGTGTTGCGTAAGGGGAAAGGTCGTGTTTTGTTGATGATATACAGGTAAGTGATGCTAAAGGAGATGAGGTAAACAGGGTTGAAGGAGAATTAGAGAAATGCTACAGCATTTTACACGGCATTTATGGGTGCAGAAAAAGACAAAAAATGACAAAGATATCTATAATCGTTGCCAGCAGTCTACATGTGAAACCTCCTCTGCCAGCTGCCCAGCCTAAAAATATGAAGAGAATACTTCCTTAGGTTACAAAACGAATTAAAATCTCAAATTTAAGTGGGAATTGAAGAGTCTCTTGAGAGTTAGAGATTTTTATTGTGAATTTAATAGTCTCTTGGGAGTTAGAGATTTTTATTGTGAATTTAAGAGTCTCTTGGGAGTTAAAGTGTTTTATTGTGAGTATAAGAGTTCTTGGAAGTTGGAG